AACTCATCCAAACAAAAGCCAACCAAATACTATGTTGTGTAAGTCACGGTCTAAGAGAAAGCACCCTACTCGTGAGTATTCAAAAAATAGAAACCAATTTATAATTTATATTACTTACAAATGTGCATCTCTTATACATTAGCAATACTCTTGTAATATTCTTACTCAATCGCTCTGCGGCAATAGGTTTTATCTTCATATCTCGAAAACATCATATGATGATACTTTTGTAATACTCTTACTCAATCATCCTACGGAAATAGGTTTCATCTCCCTATTCAGGAAACATAATATGACGATACTTTTGTAATACTCTTACTCAATCGCCCTGCGGAAATAGGTTTCATCTCTCTATTCCGGAAACATAATATGACGATACTTTTGTAATACTCTTACTCAATCACCCTGCAGAAATAAGTTTCATCTCTCTATTCCGAAAACATAATATTTGTGTATTTTTCTAATTTATCATGTTAACACATCATATTTTAAACATACGTGTATATATCTTGGTGTACGTATACATATCTGGTGTTTACTGACATTTTAGAAACTGCTCATAAACATTGTATCATAACAGTGCAAAGTCGAGAGACTCACCCGAAAAGCAAAACAACGAAGAAAACATGCACAAGGCCACTGAATGTGTGGCGGTCGACAGCACAAGAACGGCGGTTGACCTACTCAGGCCTCTGTCCTGCACGCGCCCCCCCGCCGCTATGGCACGGTCGACCGTGGGCTGATATTTTAAATTCTCAATCAGGTTGTGTGTGTTGTGTTTACGACGTGTTTAGGTGATTTAAACATGATTAAAACAACATGAAACTTGCATGAGAGTATGTCTACAGTAGATAAAAAAAAACTTCTGGAAACAAACTCAACATATCTAGCATGATTATTTGCATAAAATTTATATTCAAAATCCTACGTCATGCATAAAAACTCAAAACGAAGAACAAATCATCTTTCTTTAGATTAAACCACATTTTAAATCATTTTCAGATCTTACATACTTGTGTAAATTCATTCTCAAACTTTTTAACATGGAAAGCCTAGTCTTTATACATATAATACAAAAGAATTGACTTTTATTCATAAACTAGTTAATTTGGCTCTACAAAACATGTTAGAAACTCTTTAAAACATTTTAAAAACTAGGAGGGGGATTAGCAGAGATGAACTCACCTGAAACTTATAGAAAAACGTTTTAGGATGCCAAGACAAAGCAGATCTCCAATCCAAAAGCCAAAATCACCCGAAAAATCCACTTGAAAGCCTCCAATATTCTTCAAGAATCAAATTAGGGTTTATGGGGGTTTGGTGGCTATTAGGGTTCTTAGAAAACTGGGAAAATTCATGAAAGTTTGATATATAAACCAGGAAAAACAAATATGGGCTTTAGAAAACCAGAACCAACTCAAAACAAGAATCTGACTTTCTGCAAGTTTTGAGGTCGACCGTGCCGATCGACCGGACTGCGGTCGACCGTGGCGGTCGACCGGACCGTGGCGATCGATCGGACTGCGGTCGATCGGACTGCGGTCGACCGGACTGGAATTTTTTAGTTACACATATTTGGCCATTATGCATGTTTCGACTCTTTTCTTTCTCATGAATGAACTTTTTTATACTCAAAACACATGGTATCATACTCATACCCTATTTAACTATATTTATTAAAATAAATATACATAAATCATAATTAATCTCATATTAATTATATTAACATAAATTGTTGGGGTTTTACATTCATCCCCCCTTAAAAGAATTTCGTCCTCGAAATTCCGCAGTCGTATCGCAGAGATTAATAATACGAGAAAAGCACAAAAAGGGGATAATCCAAACAAGGAAACTCTCACGTACACATCTCATATCATTAATCTCCCGATTTAAAATATAAGAAACATTTAAACTTAACAATCTAAAATGCATACATTCTCACTTAACCTCTAATTAGATGGAACTTGTACGTCGGGCGAAAAATCCAAACAAGGAACGCCCTATATATATACCATATGTTCCGAATAATTAAGAGCTAAGTGTTGAATGACCCATTCTAGCATTAAATATAAATGTGACTAAACAATATATATAATCAAATCTATCAACGCATATAATCACATTTAAATATCGACCTTGCCTGTTCAAACAGGTGCGGGTAGTCGTGACGAACACCCTCCTCGTGCTCCTAAGAAATCTCTTCCGCTCCTTGTCGGTTCCACTGAACTTTCACTAATGGAATGACTTTGTTTCTAAGTTTTTTATTCTCTCTAGCAAGAATGCATATCGGAATCTCTACGATAGTCAAATCATCCTGTATCTCAACCTCTGGTGAATCAATCACCCTCTGCTGCTCTTCGTCACGCAAATGCTTCTTAAGCATCAAAATATAAAATATATCATGTACACTCGATATCGATGCCGGAAGATCTAATCTATATGAAATAGTTCCAATGCACTCAATAATCCTGAAAGGACCAACATATCTTGGGGTGAGCTTCCCCCGTCTACCGAATCGCTGAGCACCCTTCATCGGTGATACTTTTAACATAACTAAGTCTCCGACCTGAAATTCTAATGGTCGTCTTCGCTAATCTGCATAACTCTTTTGCCTACTCTGTGCAGCAAGAATGCGCTCTTGAATCAATGTCACCTTTTTCGTGGTTTGCCTAACTAGCTCCGGGCTAAGTAATAGACTATTATCTGGTTGTGCCCAATATATAGGCGATCTGCAAGACTTCCCGTACAAGTCTTCATACGGTGCTATCCCGATGGTAACTTGATAACTATTATTATATGCAAATTTAATTAATGGGATGTGATCCTCCCAGCTACCCTAAAAATCTATAACACATGCTCTCAGCATATCCTCCAATACCTGATTCACCCTCTCGGTCTGACCATCTGGGGGTGAAATACACTGCTAAATGATAACTGGCTGCCAAAAGCATCCTGAAGACTCCTCCAGAAATGGGATGTAAAGACTGAGCCTCGATCTGATACAATCGTCTCCGGAACTCCATGAAATCTGACAATCTCTCGAATAAAAATCCTCGTATAGGTGTCTGTCGTATAAGTCGTCCTCATAGGTAAGAAATGCGCCGACTTTGTCAACCTTTCTACTATCACCCAAATAGAATTATTTTCTTTCTTTGATTTAGGCAACCCTACTATGAAATCCATAAAAGTATCTGCCCACTTCCACTCAGGAATGGGTAAAGGTTGTAGGATTCCTACAGGTCTCTGATGTTCTATCTTAACTTGCTGGCAGGTATAACACTTAGCCACATAATTTGTAATCTCTCTGCGCATACCACTCCACCAAAAATGCCTCTTCAGATCCTTGTACATCTTCATTGTGCCTAGGTGCACCGTATATCTACTGCGATGTGTCTCATCAAAAAGTTCCATCTTCAGCCATAGATTGATTGTCATGACGATCCTACCCTTCATCCGAAGGCCTCTATCTACTCTAATAGTCCAATCATCCTTGGGTTCTTTGGAGATCTCCCCCCTTACGGAATTGAATCCACGAATCCTCTAACTGAGCTCCGACTACTCTATCTCCCCAAGATGGTTGTACTGATAAAGCTCCTAAGAAAACACAGCTCCCACCAATCTCTAGCCTGAAATCATAATGACTGAGGGTATAAAGATCCTGATATAGTGAACACCCCAAAGCTGCTAGCCCGTGATGACGCTTCCTGCTCAACGCGTCTGCTACCACGTTCGCCTTTTCCGGATGATACTATATAGAGAACTCATAATCCTTAATAAACTTTATCCATCGTTGTTGTCTCAGGTTGAGTTCTTTCTATGAGAAGAGGTACTTCAAACTCTGGTGATCTGTGAATAACTCAAACTACACTCCGTACAAAAAATACCTCTATGCTTTCAATGCAAAGACCACTGCTGCTAGCTCCAAATCATGTGTAGGATAATTCTGCTCATGAGTCCTTAACTATCTCGAAATATAGGCTACGACTTTCTAGGTCTACATTAATACTCCTCCAAGACCCGATAAAGATGCATCAGTATAGATAACAAAAGTCTTATCACTGCTGGGAATAATCAATATTGGTACTAAAGTCAACTTAGTCTTCAATGTCTTAAATGCCTTCTGGCACTCTGTGCTCCAAATGAACTGTACACTCTTTTTAGTAAGGTGTGTAAGTGGCATCGCGATCTTCAAGAAGTTTTGAATAAATTTCCTGTAATAGCCTTTCAGACCCAAGAAGCTATGAATCTCTGTAACTGTCTTCGGTGGTTCCCAATCAAGTACGACCTCTACTTTAGCCGGATCTACTACAATGCCCTCTCGGCTGATGACATGGCCCAAAAATCTGACCTCCGATAACCAGAATTCATATTTGCTAAATTTTGCATACAGCTGGTGTTCCCACAAAGTCTGCAATGCCAACCTCAAATGTTGCTCATGCTCTGCCTCCGATCTCGAATAAATAAGAATATCATTAATGAAAACTATCACTAACTGGTCCAAGTATGGATGGAAAACCCGATTCATCAAATCCATGAATACTGCGGGTGCATTGGTCAGCCCAAATGGCATGACAAGAAACTCAAATGACCTATATCGAGTCAAGAAGGCGGTTTTGGGAATATCCATCTCCCAAACCCATAACTGATGATAACCAGAATGAAGATCTATCTTCGAAAAACACTGAGCCCCTACACTGGTCGAACAAGTCATCGATCCTCGGTAATGGGTACATGTTTCGGATAGTGACCTTGTTCAACTCACGATATTCAATGCATAATCACATACTCACGTCCTTCTTCTTCACAAAAAGGACTGGTGCTTCCCACGAAGAATAACTCCGTCGAATGAATCCTTGAGACAATAACTCATCTAGATGGATCTGTAGCTCCCTCATCTCAGCAGGTGCTATACGATAAGGAGCTCGGGAAATCAGCACGGTGCCTGACTGCAACTCTATGCAGAACTCGACCTCTCTCACTGGAGGTAAACCTGATATGTCCTAAAAGACATCCTGGAACTCTGAGGCTACTCGCATCTCACTCAAATCTGCACCCCGATTCTGTAACATCACATCCTCGACGTATGCCAGATATGACTCCGCAAACTGGTTGCCTCTGGAGATCATTACCACTAACTCAGATCTATCAAAAGCTCGTAAACTGACTGTCTTCGCAAAACAGTCGATACTCACATGGTAGGAAGATAGCCAATCCGTACCAAGGATAACATCGAACTCAGACATACGCAATACGATCAGGTCTATCACAAACTTAGAATCGTCCAAGATGACGATACATCTCCTACAAACACACTCTAAAAGAGACGTCTCCCCTAAAGGAGTAGATACAGATAAAGAAAAATCTAATGGCTGCGCCATAAGCTGGAGACTAACCGAGAAATCATAGGAGATAAAAGAATGCGAAGCGCCAAAGTCAAAAAGAATACATGCTGGAAATGAATTCACAACGAAAGTACCTTCCACCACCATCTTGTTCGCGCCATGATCGCAAGGAATAACTGCATACACCCTACCAGTCGGCTGTGCTGCATCACCTGGAACATATGGGACTATATGTCCCTGCTGGATCTCCTGAATCGCTCGCACCTGTCCTTCAATCCTCGGGACTACTGGAGGTGCCTCAATCCTTAACTGTTGACCCTGACCACGAGCGGATTCCTGTCCTGCTGGCCTGCTGCGGGTGCGCTACGGCACTTTGCTGCTCTGTGGCCTGACTTGTTGTAATTAAAACAAGCTCCATGAAATCGGCGCTGTTGTTACGCCCTGTGATCCTGATGATTGACCTTATTATGGGGACTCTGTTGCTGTGGAAACTTATTCTGATGCTGGGGTCCTCCTGAGCCTGTAAAAGGTCTTTTACCCTTACCCTTATCTCCTGGCTGTCTTGACTTAGCATTTTCATCTTTACCCTTGATAAACATAGATGTGTCTATCTCCTGGGCTATGGTAGCATCTACCACCTCCCGCACTGAATGGAATCTTCAAGATACTAGATATTGGCACAAACCTGGACGAAGTCCCATCATGAACATCTGAGCATGTCTTTCCTCGGTGTGCCACATGCCATTGAATCTAAGTAGTGACATAAACTTACTCTCAAAATTCGTAACCGACATGTCCCCCTACTCCAATTGAGCCAACTCTAACTCCTTTCTGGCTTTCGCTGTAGCCAAAACATACTGCTCCTCGAAGAAATACACAAAAATCTCCCATGAGGCTGTCAACCTCTGCTCTAGAGTAAAATGAAGCCGATATCATCCTCCTACATCACCCTTGAGACTAAAAGCTGCTAGTCTTTGCTTCTGCACAGTATTCACATTAAGCATGTCTAGAATGTTGCTTACATCTTCCTTCCATTTGTGTGCCGCAATGGAGTCCGTCGAACCATGAAACTCTGGAGCCTTCAACTTCTGGTACCTCTCTACCAAACAAAGCCAAGCCTTCTGCTCAGCCACTCCATCAACAACTGAAGGTGGTGGCTTGACTACCAGTGTCCCTTCTGGTATCTCCTCCTGAGAGGGTGTTCTCTACCAACCTTGATCTGCTAACTACTCCTCAATAACTTCCAGACGAGCTGCTAACGGTGCTATGAGATCCACTTAGTACTACGGAGTCTGCTGTGGCTTAGGCTCTCTATCAACCTACTCAGCTCCTTGAGCATGAGTACCTCGGCGTCCACGTCCTCTTCCTGACATCTATAATATAGAAGTAGAGCTTATTACGCAGTAAATAGAATCTCAAGCAGAAAAAGATATAACGTATACCAATAAGTAAATCGTATCACATATTACTCATAGCATGCCTTATTATTAAAAGCAAATAGTTCATCATAAAAAAATATTTCTAATTTCCCACGTATATATATAATACGTCCTCACTCACACTAGAAATTCCTAGCGGACTGTATACATGATTCCTAGGAAACTCTATCCTAACTCCACAATATGACACAGGGATGATCCTAAGGATATTAAAACTAGAGCTCTGATACCAACTATGACGCCCCAGGGTTCACACAAAGCTGTAGTCCAAGGTAAAACCCGGATTGTCAAACCTGTCAAGCACCAAACATCGTGCTACGACATGTTTCACCATCACAATTACTATCTCTCTAGTGAAAACAACAAATAGGTGAAGGTATAGACAGGCAAGTAAAAGAAATAGAGTAAATCCAGATATACACAGAGGAAGCATGAGAATAATCATCAGTGAGCCCAACTAAAATAGAGTAGAAATACATTTGAGTCTGAAATAAACCTCAAGTACAATGAGTCAAATAAAATATCACTATGACTCTCAGCCTCTACAAAATGAAATACAAGTCTAGAGTGTGAACATAAACAACTAACCGTGGAGTTCTGAAATAACTACTAAATAGTAAACAACTAGATGGAATCTATGAGAAAATCCCATCAAGCTATGACTCTCTGTGCGCCTGACTCGCTGCCTGAAAGGGGGGAAAACAACGAGCGTTAAAACGCTATAGCAAGATCATCTCCACCTCTCCCCAGGAGAAGGGGTAGGAGTATATAGAAAATAGAGTTAGTACGCTATAGCAAGATCATCTCCACCTCTCCCCAGGAGAAGGGGTAGGAGTATATAGAAAATAGAGTTAGTACATATACATATGAAATCATTCATAAAATTTTAACTAGAAGTTAATATTTAGAAAATCACAACACGAGAGTTAGTACGTCGAGCAAAATAATCAAAACAATGAAACCCTCATGTATATATCATGTCTCAAATTGTAACTCCCTAAATACTAACTCCAAACCCTATGAATGAAAGCAATAAATCAAAAGAAAAACATTCCAAACCTCAAACATGTAGAATAAATATCTCATCCTGATCTACACTCGGGTAGATGGATCTAACATAAAAGGAACTCATCCAAATAAAAGCCAACCAAATACCATGTTGTGTAAGTCACGGTCTCAGAGAAAGCACCCTACTCACGGGTATCCAAAAAATGGAAACCAATTTATAATTTATATTACTTACAAATGTGCATCTCTTATATATTAGGGATACTCTTATAATATTCTTACTCAATCGCTCTGCGGTAATAGGTTTTATCTCCCTATCCCAGAAACATAATATGACGATACTTTTGTAATACTATTACTCAATCGTTCTGTGGAAATAGGTTTTATCTCCTTATTCTAGAAACATAATATGACGATACTTTTATAATACTCTTACTCAATCGCCCTGCGGAAATAGGTTTCATCTCCCTATTTTGAAAGCATAATATGACGATACTTTTGTAATACTCTTACTCAATCGTCCTTCGGAAATAGGTTTCATCTCCCTATTCCAGAAACATAATATTTATGTATTTTTCTTATTTATCATGTTAACACGTCATATTTTAAACATATGTGTATATATCTTGGTGTAAGTGTACATATCTGGTGTTTACTGACATTTCAAATGTTAAACAGCTCATAAACATTGTATCATAACAGTGCAAAGTCGAGAGACTCACTCAAAAAGCAAAACAATGAAGAAAACATGCACAGGGCCACTGACTGTGTGGCGGTCGACCGCACAAGAACGGTGGTCGACCACGACGGGTTCTAGAGCCTACTCAGGCCTTTGTCCTGCACGCGGTCGACCGCCGCTATGGTACGGTCGACCGTGGGCTGATATTCTAGATTCTCAATCTGGTTGTGTGTGTCGTGTTCATGCCGTATTTAGGTGATTCAAACATTGATTAAAACAACATGAAACTTGCATGAGAGCATGTCTACAGTAGATAAAAAAACTTCTGGAAACAAACTCAATATATATAGCATGATTATTTGCATAAAATTTATATTCAAAACCCTAAGTCATGCATAAAAACTCGAAACAAAGAACAAATCATCCTTCTTCAGATTAAACTACGTTTTAAATCATTTTTAGATCTTACATACTTCTGTAAATTCGTTCTCAAATTTTTTAACATGGAAAGACCTAGTCTTTATATATATAATACAAAAGAATTAACTTTTATTCATAAAGTAGTCAATTTGGCTCTACAAAACATGTTAGAAACTCTTTAAAACGTTTTAAAAACTAGGAGGGGGATTAGCAGAGATGAACTCGCCTGAAACTTGTAGAAAAACATTTTAGGATGCCAAGCCAAAGCAGATCTCCAATCCAAATGCTAAAATCACTCAAAAAATCCACTTGAAAGCCTTCAATATTCTCCAAGAATCAAATTAGGGTTTGTGGGGGTTTGGTGGCTGTTAGGGTTCTTAGAAAACTAGAAAAATTTGTGAAAGTTTGATATATAAACCAGGAAAAACGAATATGGGCTTTAGAAAACCAAAACCAACTCAAAACAGGAATTTGACTTTCTGCAGGTTTTGCGGTCGACCGTGGCGGTCGACCGGACTGCGGTCGACCGCGGCGGTCGACCGGACTGGAATTTTTTAGTTACACATAATTGGCTATTATACATGTTTCGACTCTTTTCTTTCTCATGAATGAACTTGTTTATACTCAAAACACATGGTATCATACTCATACCCTATTTAACTATATTTATCAAAATAAATATCCATAAATCATAATTAATCACATATTAATTATATTAACATAAATTTTTGGGGTTTTACATGTAGATACAACTGACTTCGTGAGAATTCTATTTAAAATATAGTTTGCAGTTAACAATGTTTCTCCCCAAAAAAAATTTGGAGAGACCAGAATAAGACAACATGCATCAAACTACATTCAGCAATGTTATATTCTTTCTTTCAGCAACATCATTCTGTTGTGGTGTATATGGTATTAGTGTATACCTTTTAATTCTATGTTGAATGCAATAACTCTAAAATTCTTTAGAGATATATCCCCCACCTCTATCGGTTCTCAAAATTTTGATTTTTATTCCAAGTTGGCTTTCAACTTATGTCTTATATCTCTCAAAGTAGTCAAAAGCTTCTAATTTTCTAGATATAAGATAGACATGTGCAAACTTAAAATAATCATGTATAAAAGTAATAAAATATTCTTTATTACTATAAGTTTTGACACTTAGGCCCCGTTTGGATAATGGAAGTATTAGAAGTAAGAAATATGTTATAAAAGTAACTTTCAAAACTATGAAGTAGGAAGTAGTGGAAATAGCACTTTTTTGTTTGTTTCGTATATTTTTAGAAGTAATGGAAGTAGAACTTATTCTTCTTCATTTACTTTTTTTTGTTTGGATAACATGTGGAAATATTACTAGGAAGTAATTTTATCAATGAAAATCTGTTAGAAGTAACCGATAAAGGAAATATTAATAAAAAGTTATTTATTTCCTAATTAATATGCATTTCAACTACTTCCGAGCTACTTCTGAGTATTAAGGATTGGAAAACTATTTTGGAAGTAAGGATGACACGTAAGCGCCACATAAGCATTTAAGAAAGTAATGGAAGAAGTAAGGATGACACGTAAGCGCCACATAAGCATTTAAGAAAGTAATGGAAGTAAGTTTTTCAAAGAAACAAACATGTTTTTTTGCTTGGAAATAACAGAAGTAGCCTTTACTTCTTTTACTTCAGCTACTTCATAATTACTTTTGTGCAAACAAACGGGCCCTTAGGGGACCACAAATATCCGAGTGTATCAAGCCTAAAAGTTTATTGGCTCTTTGTCCACCAATAAAAGATTTTCTAGTTATTTAACAATGTTTACATGGTGACAATTGAACATTAGATAGTGCAGGTAGTAAGTTCATTCTGATAATTTCTTTCATTGTTAAAATACTAGTATGTCCTAATTTAGAATGTCACAATTTAGACTTAGAAATATAACAGAACAAGCAGTTCAAATTAAAAAATTTATTATCAGAATTATTATAAACTATTAGAAGAATGCATAATTCATGCTCGGACACATATTTTCCCATAGCATACGCTTAATTATTTTTGTCTATAGAATCTCGGTTATTGTAGAACCTAATTTTCAGTCTTTTCTTCATCAATCTGGGAACATAGATCAGGTTGTGCCGAATTCTTGGCACATAGAATACATCTTTAAGGACAAGAATATTGTCCCCAAGATCCAATATATATGAACCAATACCTTCTACATCGAGATAGGTATTGTTTCCCATATAGATCCTCTATTCTCC